TAATTGCATGTAATATTTCAACTAAGACTTCACCACTCATTAAAATAAGTTTAGTGGGGAAAAAAAATGCCTCCAGTGGCTTATATGCAACACTCCTGGTAGCGCATGTCAAAATGAGATTTACTTTTTCAGCTTTGTTGCTTCATATTCAGGCTCTCAGTAGTGTTTGCTAGCTGGAAAGTTCCCAGTTTTTCCCCCCGCCCCAAAGTGCCTTTACTGAATTGTTTTGCTCATTTCTCTCCCCACACCAACTTCCTAGACCGCATTTCTCCTTTAACAGAAACATTTTGTGAATTTGCAAAAGGCTTTTATGTGGGATCCATTCTAAAAATTTTCTCTCTGAAAACAGTAGCTGCAAAATCCTATCTACCCTAGTGAACCAAAATTATCATTCACTCTACTAAATCAAACACATCTGGCACCTTGAATGTCTAATCGTACTTAGCCACATCTATCACCTTGAGTGTCCAGACCTACTCATGATCTGCTTGTTCAATCCCATCTCCCCTTCCCATTCAGTGAGTCCTGCTGTAATGCAGATGGCTGTGGCGGTGACCAAGTTCGATATGCAAGATGATATAAGATCTCCTACCATGCTTTTGTGGTCTAAAATTTCAAATATCATTAAAATGATGGCCAATATGCACACTTTGCCTGCAGTCAATCCTTAATCACCCTTATAGGTGCTGCAAAGTCCCTTTAATCCTACCTACCTGAAGACTAATAACAAAGTCAAAAAGTACAAAACTTCAGTTTAGACTTTCTGTAGATTTACTCTGTGGCAGTTACTGAAACTATCACCTCATCAACAGTGGTCCATGAAAGAAAGACTGCAGAGTATGCTGTGTCCTTTCGTGTAGGTTAACTTCAGGATGATCGTATCGGAAGCAAGTCCAATGGCCTGCTGTGAGAAGAAAGGGTATAAAAAACAGTATCACCCAGCCTGAATTCTGGAAGGGAACCAGCTGATGGGGTATTAGTACGCCATAGATGAGCTTAGAGTTTTCTAAAACAGTTCAGGGCATGCTTGCAGTACCTGTAGGTTTTAGAAAAATCTCTTTGGTGTGTTCTGACTACAGACTGTAGGCTGCAAGCTCAGTGTCGCAGCTGCCTAAGTGGAGGATTTCAGAGAACTAGTGGTGCATCTCTTGAGCTGCACCAATATGTAACTATTTTCCAAGATGAATTAAGAAGCTATTTGCTCTGTTCCCCATGTTTTGATTCACGCAAATGAGACCATGGCTGCTCAGAGAAAGTTAGGGGAGATTCAGAAAGAGCTCCTGAGGTAAGGGAGCCTTTCCAGTACAGTCCCCAAACCAGCTGGGAATCAGCTGTTCCAAGGAAACCTGTATAGGCCAGGTTATAAAGGAAGACTAAATAGTCCTGTCTGTAGCCTTAGCTAACAATTGGGGAGCACTGCATTCAGACCAAACCTTCTACAATATCCTTCCCACACCCATGTTATAATACATCCACAGCTCACTTGCTGTCCCCGTGAGCAAGAAATTTACTTTAGCTTTGCAGGGTAGCTACATTAAAAAACAAAAAAGAAAAACAAAAAAACTGCAGCTCCATAACAGCTATTAGCTCTGGGCAAGTCATCATTTGAAGTTACTGAGGTACAAGTATCAGGCAGTGAGAAAGATCTTGCCGAGACTTGTAGTTAAAATTAATGTCACAGTGATAATGGAAGGATTTGAACAGGAAAGAGGTGTTACCAGCTGTGATGGAGAAATGAAGGCACACGCTTACCCATTAGCAACTCATCAAGTACTTCAACTGCATATTATAGCCATGTGAGCTAGTTATTACACCACTCACTGTGATTCACATTCCCATGAAAGGTGAGAGTCAGTAGGAACAATATTCATTTTGTCTGACTCGTCCCTTTAAAATATCTTAAGGGTTACTCTTCAAAACCTGTGACTGGCACTCTAGATTTTTCTGCGCTTTTACCAGAGCGTCAGTATTACTGTTGCCCCTTTGTAAGCTTGTCCTAACATGTTCTTTTCTCATTTAATTACCAGAAATTTCAACAGCAATGGAAGAAAGAATCTTGTTAGTTGTTTTCTTGACAAAGTTACTTAATATTGCAAAGGAATGAACTGTAGTAAGGCCAGAGAGAAATCCATGCGTCTGAATGACATAACTGATATCCAAAATACCTGCATTTTGGTACCTGCTGGTGACAGTACTCTCTGGTTAAGCTCCCTTAGGTGGGTCAAAGATGTGGCTTGACAGACTCTTCTGCCTGATTGCTGCTGAAAGCATTACTCTTTTACAGTCCTTCAACCCCAATTCTCTAGCTATTTCTGATCATTTGAGAAGCTACTCTGTCCTGAAGAATTTCAAGGAAGTTTTCACTCAGGAAGATAATAAGGAGTTCTTCTCTTCCTACCCTAACTATATATAGTAATATGTTCAGTAAACTGGCATACGCAGGCCTCCTGCTGACTCAAGGGTAACAGAACAGGAATTCACGTATTGCAGTGGTAGTGTCTGCCAATACCGCTGCAGGTACTTTAACAAAAGATGCATGTACATCCCTTTTTCACGACAGCGCTCCTGGTACTTCAGCAGTTGCATATGCACAATCTGATCTGATGGTGGACTTTTGCTGAAATGGTTTGTCCCCTGTCCCCAGACACATTCCTAGTTCTTCATTGTCAGACTTAGAGGTGAGAGTTTCAGATGCGGTCGTGTCTGCTTCTTGATCCAGTGGACCTCTCTTCCCAAGCCTGTGGGATCACTAAGTCCATAGGAAAGCACTCAGACAGAGGTATGAGGGCCGTTTCTTTTGGCAGCAGATCTCAGATGAGATCAAGGGTGTAGTTTCATATGCTTTCACTCTCTTGTGGTGTATTTCAGGGGCTACTGAACATCATAAGCTGTCAGTCTGCCAGGATTTCCTCCTGCAGCATGGCTGTTGAGATGTGACAGCTCAGGAGAGACCATGCTGCCATCAACAGCAACCTTCCTCTTTCTTCACACTCCACTCATGCTGTTGCCCTCAACACAACCTTTTTAAAAAAGAAGACAG